CCTCTCCTCCGGCTGCTCCTTCTAAGTAATCGAAAGACTCTGCTTGTTCCGGCTCTTCTGGGAATTGCAGTTGCCTAGGTGATATGGGGCGCGCTAAAGCGGATGCATTTGTCCCGACCCAAACAGGAATGAAGCAGGCAATGGTATAAGCTAGCACTGCATATGAATGCACAACGTGTTGATCATATCCACTTCTAAATGTTGGTCTTTCTGAGGATGCTGTGGTCTGCCCTTCAACAGTTGGCGGGGCCCGACCAGTTGCAGCGGAGCTTGTGGACGGTTCTTCACCTTCAGAAGAATCCAAAGAAGCAGCATCACGCCGACGCTCAGGGTCGAGAAACAACGACAAATCTGGCTCCTCTTCGAGTCCCCCTTTGAGCGCAGCTGAAAGACTAGTAGCCTCACTGCTGGAAAGACCCAGTTGACCACCAGGTCGATTCCGTTCATGAACCACCGACGCCCCTCCACCACAAACGTGTATAAAGTTACCTCTCATGGAACTTTGCAACTCGTTCGAGAATTTGCAGAGACGCGTCCTAAGGTCTCTGCCATAACATCTAAGTCGAAGGAATCCGGTGATCATTTCGCGAAGCATTGTCCGACGTCTGGGACTCTCTTCAAGAGGCCCGAACGGCTTGAAAATGCCAATGAAAGAGAGTTCGTTTTGAAGTTCCTTGATCCAGGAAGCAGTGTCTCCGTCTCGGCGGAGCTTTCGCTTGCGGGTGTGTCTAGAGTAGGAAAGAATTGTGAGAATCGCATTTGTGATATTTCTGGGGGCCCTTATACCGCTCTCTATCCAAGGTAACAGAGAGAGCAGGGCTCGGGTGCATGCGAGTATCATCATGCGCGCCAGCAAGGCCTCATCCGCTAGCCTCCGTGTTCGGTGCTCTCCCATGGACTCTAGGAAAGAAACGCATGGCACCCTGAGGCCCTGTAGCACTTTTACAAGGTTAGAAGTTCTCTGCATCCTGAAACGGTCTGTATCTTGATCGTTCTCCATGGCTGAGTTCCCGAACTGGACTACCGCCTCAATCGCGGCTACACGTTGCGGCTCCAGAAAGTTTGAAGTATGGGTCCCCAAAAAGGCCAACTCCTGAATAGCAATGGTTATTAACAATTGCACATATGCTACTCTATCCTGAGGATGCACCCACGGGAGCGCTGAGGAGCCCAAGTTAACTAAGCGTAGCAGCTCCTGTATCATGCACGATGCCCGCTCTTCGGCTGTGCCCTCTTCCAGGATGAAACCTCCAACCTCGCCTGGCCCCACTGCTTCTCCATACTCTGAGGTCTCTTCCGAAAATTCATCCGAATCTCCACTGTCTGAGCCACAGAAGCTTTCTCCGTCGTCTTCGGCGTTCGCCAGTGACCTTGTTTTGTAATGGGAGGTTCCCGCAAGTAGTAGTTTCCGTGCACAGTAAATAGTTGCAAATGCAACTGCAAAGCAAGCAAGAGAGACAAAGGCCGCCGTTGAAAGGTGACGGAAAAAGCTTTGTTGCCTCTTCTTTGCTGTTGCTGCCGCATGCCCTGTAGAAAATCTTGCTCCCTCAATCCAATGCGCAGGCGCGTATCCTGCCCCGTCTTTGTCGTCTGTGGAAAGCTGGCTGTTCTTCATGACAGCTGTGGCTGTCGTGTGGGCTACAGCGATGTCTTGTGGCATCCAGAGGGTCTCTGCTGTTGCTGCCAACGCTACTGGCGTTGTTGCAGCGAGTACCAAAGAACACAGGAGGCAAAATAAGCCAGGGGCGACCAGCCGGTCTCGGGCGGAAGAAAGAGATGTCCCATTTTTTGAAAAAGAGTTATGAATTAAGCTGGCCACCACTGCAGAAAGCGACGTTGATGCTTTCGTAGTTTTCATGAAGCCAAAATGAGTTTGACTTGGCCCTCCGAGGTTCGGACAACGGCTCAAATACCTTGCATTCAGGGAAAAAAAGTGATATCATGAAAAGGGAGGAAAGAAACCGTATTTGTCTGACATAATGGAGAGGGCCACTGGCTCCCACAGGAACTTCAGTTCTTGACTGCTGCACAGTCTCCGTGCAGTGGTGGAGAATTCTACAAAGTGAAGGCGGCTGTGGGTCTCATGGAGCTCTCAATAATCCTAATTGCATGAAATATATGGCGGCGTACTAAACGAGTTGAAAAATAGTACCGGATAACACCAATGACCTGTGAGTCAGACTGCCCACACTGAAGGCACCAGGCCGACTAGACGGCCCCCAGAAGGAACTCTTTGAGCGTAATTTGCTCTTGACCCGGAGGGCCAAGAGAATTATTTTATGTGAAATTCAATAAGAAAGCAGACGATTTGTTTGGAGCCCTTAACTTGCTTCAGTCTTTTCGGCCCGGTGTGGCCTTGTGGCATCATCGCTCACAAACTGGACACCCCACCAGCCCAGATTGCAGGCCAAGCAGGCTACATATTTCGCCCCATATACTTAGTGTATCTCTTTTACAATGCTCTTACGATCTTAATAAACCTGGAAATTTTAACTTTTCTCATAAGAACAGCGGAAGCGCACCGTTGCAAAGGAGTGCCGGAGTTTGTGCAGGCGTGCCAGCGTTCCTTTCTCTAACGCTGTACAATCCATGTACAACAAAACAGCATTGTCACTGCAAAACCTGAGGAAACAAATGAGGGCCAAATATGGGTGTTTATCAGCTTCTGGGGAGCACGATGGCATGAACTGCTTGAACGTGATTGTGGGGACTCAAGCAAAACATCCTGCATCGATCGATGAACAGCCACAAGAAAGAAGCGGGCACACGTCTTTTCCGCGATGATTTTAGTCGCTAATTGTATTTTGTATTTGCTATTCGCGATTTTTTCAACCCTTCGTGGTGCAGTGCACACACAGTGCGGTAGCGACACGAATAGAGACCATGAATTTTCGTCCATGTAAAGAAATGGGGGATGCCACCTGTCTCTGTGTCCAGATACTTGGGGTTCTGCGATTTCTTCCTAAATATTAAAGTGGTTAAAAATATCAGTGGAGAAAATGCCTTCTAAACCACAAAGGCGCTATGCAAGACAGCAAATTTCTGGCCCAGCATGTGTTTACTGAAGAAGAAGGCTTGCAAGTACACTCCACGAAAGTGCCGAAGCCAAGCTGCATCTTCTGTTCCTTACACATTGTACATTATTTTCATAACACTCCAAAATGGCGCCGGAGAAAGTGTCGGCTAAGTCGCACGTGGGTTGCTAAGCGCACCGAAACGGCGACCCAGCAATGATTTTGCCGAAAGAGGTAGAGTAAAGCACGTGCAAGCTGCACAAGAAATGCAGCCATTTACAGGTCACAGTGGGTCTAATGGCGCGCCATGTGTTCTGCGGTGGATGCACGCAACTCACAGCGATACGCCCGAACACAGAGGAAGGTCGCAGACAGCGCTGGGCATACACCTTGGCAAAAACTGGCGATAGTATCTAGAGGAGCTAACGTTTGAAGTAACGACTGCAAGTGAAGTCGGTGGCGAAGTCTGTAGAAGTCACGTGATGGCTGGGGCTGCTTCGCGCGCCTGTCCAGAATGGCACAAGGCCCTATTTATGGGGCACTGTAGTGGCGGGCTACGGGTGTGCGATTGCAAAGCTGTATCTGCTCATAACACACATCAAGTGCCACAAAAGCACTTTTCATCATGATAAAAGTCAAATTAAGAGAACTTGGCGGACAGTGACCCCCGCCTGGCTTTAAACCGCAACAGTTCCTTTGACCCGAGGTCGTCGTTTGGAGGCTTGCGCCACATGGAACAACAAAAGATGGAAATTTGTGAATGTTCAATAAGGTTTTACCTTGATTAATGCAATATTTCTTAGCTGCTGCTCGCGGTGCTGTGTAGCTCGAAATTTCATTTTAATGTAGCGGCTATGCCCTAAGTACGGCTTGACGTTTAAGCAATTAGCAGAGTGGCAACAGCTTTACAAAACAGAAGGGGTCTTTAAAAAGTGCCACGATGCTGGTGGCTGCAGATACCCAAGTTTCCCTTAAAGAGGTTTAAATTTTGAGTTTGCAGGCTGTAGAGTTTCACTGGCCTTGCTTCAAGTTGTTATGCTGCTTGTTTCTCCACCTAAAAGGAATGAAGAATGGCTTCGTGTGTCAGGCACACTGCTATTTCGTCAGTTAGGGCTTGGGTTTTGCTTCCTATAGAACAAGCTGTTAGCCGCACGAGCACGCCCCTGGACACTGTAATAGAAAGTGGTAGTAATCCTAAAAACGGCAACGATAATACACGGAAGGTAAATATTTTGCATTCATTTACTTGAAGAATGTGCAAATGTGTGCTAATGCAGCTAGCAATTTGCGAAACAAGAAGCAAATCCCAAGCTCTAAAGCCAAGCCTGCTGTAAGCCCAAGATCTCCTTGTAATACTGTTGCTTTTTCAGGGCCGCTAGCACTGTTTCCCGTCCCCTGATGTTTTATTTCTTCCAAATGGCCTGCCAGCATCCTGCGAGTACGTAGCAGGATCCGTTCAGTGGTGGCGTATGCTTCAGTAACCCATTTCCGTTCTTTGTGCCATGAAGGTGAATGAGCGAGCTTGACTGTGGCATAAAAAATAATCCAATAGGCAGCAAACACAAAAGCAGCCAATACAGCAAAGAATATTGCCAGTATTCCCAATTAGCAGTGGTAGAAACAAGACTTCTACCGTGGTGACCAGGCTTCCAGTAGGCGTATGTGTTGTATCCTAGTGTTCTACTGTCTTTTTAAAGACATTTTGGTATCATATATAAAAAAAACCGAGAGACGAAGTCACTTTGTACACATGCGCTTCCCTCGATTTATGATGGATTAACCGCTACGTAGACACTGGGAGTGTGCCGGTGAAATGATATGAGGCGGAGTTTACGTGCTGTACGATAAAGAAGCCGCCCATGGCCAAATCATACAGTACACAGTGCTTATGTTTTTTTTACAAACCGTACCTTTTCTTTATCACTACATGAGCCACTGGCTTCCGTTTTTAATGGCCACTATGTCTGCAAAAGGTTCGCTGCGAAGCGCAAAAATCTTTTGAATCCGTGCTTGAGTAGACGCGGCAGGCCCTGTTGTAACCGCAAGGATTCACTGCAGAGCAGACAAGTACAACAGGATCGCCAATCATAATACAGCAGTTCCGAAGGGTTACACGACGATAAATGCCCCTGAAAATCTCTTGCGCAGCGTCAGATTAGCACACATTAAACCATTTATCGATATCTTCTTGCCAACTCATCTATCTGTATTTAGCTGCCTACTTTTTTACTTATCAATGTGAATCTACTTATCTCTGCATTTGCCAGTGCAGCTGCCAGTAGTGTCCAAACCAATCGCATGTATGCATATTTCCATGTTTTTTTTATCTCCATAGGTTCTTCTGTGCCTACCTCGATGCCTCTGCGTACGCACCTATCTACCTAGCCATACCATTCCTCCTGTCAGTCTGTATTTCTTTCTTTCTATCTATCTATGCCTCTTCCTATTTAGCTGTGTCCCCCTCTAGCTATCTACCGGTGAGCCTCAACTAACTATGCGTCTTTTGCTGTCCTTGGAAATGGCCCATTAAGAAAACTGTGGTAAGGCTTTTTTAGAGGCCTCTCTGAAGCAAGAAAAAGGGACTCGAGTGGCAGCCAGAAAGGGACCCGAGAGGGAGCCTTTAAAGGGCCTTAGCAGCGACACCTCCAGGTCCAACTGCAGCGGCTGATGAACGATTATATAATGAGAGATCAGAGGGTCTCACAGGGAGACTTTCAGCAAGTCCTATCGAGATACTGTTACACAGGGCACTGACGGATTTCTAAAGAGACCGCGAAGTGGGGCTCCGGTGCCAGTGCTGCAAGAAGACCTGGCATGCGATCGTTGTAAGAAATAATATTGTGTAATCGGCATGCATGGCTACACAAGGAGGTGCATAAGGTAAAGCAAAGGGCAAGCCACCTGCTGAGCTAGAATGCAGCAACAGAACGAGCCGCTCCAGCATGGAGCCCCTGAGGACGCCAGATAGGCAAAGGGGAGACGCCAAACACTCCTACATTTTTCACAGCAAAGTATCTGAGATTGAGCCTCTGCTTCTGCCGCTTCTACGCCTGAAAGTGTGTACACGAAAGCAGGAGACACCCGCAGCATGCTATTGCTGATTTACCATTTACGCCAGCGACACGGAACGCCAGCATGTTCTGCGTATGCTCTTTTCGTCTATTCACTTCTAGTTTTGGCTTCAGTTCGCAGAGCAGTCTCTTGTTTCCCCCTCCTTAGAGCGGTTTCTTGCCTCCTGAGCAGCTCTTCAAATGCATCCTTGCTATCCTCTGCTATCTGCTGCAGCTGAATGCGTTAGGACGGAAGTGTATCATGCGCATGCTGGACATGGTGTGCAGGCCTAGAGATGGCGCACTGGCTCACAGTTTGTTCACATGTTCTTATCCAACTGGCCAAGAACGTTGTAGACATAAAAGTGATTGCACGCGCATGTCTCACTTTGTACAAAAGCTTCGTAAGGGCTGATCTCACATCTTCAGGGACAACACCCGAAGTTTGAAAACTGCTGCCGCTGCCTGGAGCTTTCGTTCCATGTGTGGTTTCTCCTCTGTGAGCTCTTTTCTCTCATTTTGTCCAGGATGACAAGAGATTTAGATTGATTCTGCACTTGCTTCTCTTGTTACCCTTACGACAATACGCATCATCG